GCCCATTTTGAACCTTTTTCCGCACAAATACAAATTGCCCAGATACAACTTCCAATTTAAAGGAATGGGAAATTGGACGAATATGAGGTAGATCTTTCGCTTTAGATAAGTAGAAAAGTGTACGTAGACGACATAGATGAACGATGGCTGCGATTTAAGGCAGAAAACAGTCAATACCATGGGCCTAGATAAAAACCTAGTCAGTTAAAAACATACATGTTCATACATACATGATAAGGGAAGAGTTCTAATATAAGATAAAATATTTAGAGCTAACAGGCTACAAATCAATTCTCCACCAATAAGTTCCACCATACTTAAGAGGACCATACAACCAAAACATAAGGTTTAGCACAATGTCATAAAATTATTCGCACTTTCGATAATCGCTTTTTTCTATTTCGAAAACTTTCTTCATAGTTGATGTCTACATTACAGTTCGTGGAGCTGTTAGAGGGAGCCAAGAAGCGGAAACTTATTGTTTTTGTCCCACATTCCCCCATATTCTCCTAATATGAGTCATCCGGGGGGTCTAACATTTAAAACGGTTTTGGTGTATGTCCACTTAATGCGTAACCCCATTATTAGATTCAAGACTTTTGGTCTCAATTTGGTCGTTACAATATATCGTTTTTCGGTACAATTTCCCAGTTATATTTTATCTACATTTCCAATGTATAAACTAATTTACTGACAAAAAAACCTGATTGTGGATGCGGTTAGTTTTCTTTCCCTCACATTTGTTGATCCATTCATCTCGCGTCAAAACTCTTTAACAATGGGTTTCAACAAGGTTATATTCAATGTAAACAAAGTAAGTAACGGAAAATTAAGGTCAACGTTTCAAATTTCATTTCAATAAGAAGATTTAATTAAATATTTTCTATTTAATAAAGAGATTTCAATTGATGCCAGTTCTGGTGGCCTTGTGTCCTTTCTTAGGCAATCTTATAAATCATAACATATTATAAATTAAAACTTTATGCAATCAAAATGATTAAAAATCAAAAGGATCAAGTTAGTATTATTGCTTTTGTGCCAAATTACCAAATTCTGGCCAAGCAAAAAATGGCCAAACAAAAATGGCCAAACAATAATTTCTGTTGGACCTTTCCTCTTTCAGAGGATCACAAGCATATTAATTCGAATTATTAATTCAATCTTGTTAAATCAAACTCTTATAAAATCAAAACTTATTATTAAAAAGGATCACGTTAGCATCACTTGCTTTTGTGCCAAAACATGGCCAACCAAAAGCAGGGTCGATCAAAAATAAACATTACATTCACTGTTGAATTCCGTTGAAAAACTTCCGTCTTTAGGTTTAAGGTCATATTAGTAAACCTTCTCTAGCTTAGTCTCCTCCGGGTAACGGATCGTAAAGCTGAGGGAACTTTTGAAACAGGCAGCCAACACACCTTTGTTCCATAGATGGCGAAATGTTTGCCGATCCACTGTCTAGGGCCTGGCACTAAAAGGAGGCGTATTTGTGAATGGTTGTATGTCTTACCAGGCGCGAACCTCTTGGATCGTCACCTTGTCCGGATTCGACCAGTGGTCTCAAGCTGCTGAATAGCCTCGTCGACAATCACAATTGTTGTTTCATTGAGGAAAAAAAGTTAAATAATTTCTAGATAACTTTGTAATAATGAACGATTCTTGTTCAAACATTATAATATGATACATTTGTTTTGGATGATAAAACATTTCAATTAATGATTTGATTTTGACTCCAAAAATAATTACGTAACCACTAACCTCTTGGTATAAGGAAGTGGTCAACCAATAAATCGCGATTTACGGACTTTCCGCTGTAGCTACTCTACCATGACTATAGCATGTGAAGAGGTGGTCTAGAAGTCTACGTCACATCTACCCATACCACGTCTCCTCGCTCACGCGCCACTGCGCTTCACACCACTCTCGTAGCCGACGCGCCCTCGCCCCCTCGCCTCTCGCTAAGTCACCTCCGCAATTCAAGCTCTTCCTTTCCTCCCATAGACATACCGCTAACGCCATACACTTAATCTGCCACAACACATTGTTTTGTAAAAATTGACGGAGCTAATTACCAGTAAATGCATAAATCTACTCATTCAAAAATTTAAAAGACTTCCAAATTCTGTAGATTAACTAGGATATTCTATGTCCCCCCTTCTAGGCACAGAACAGCCTCCTGCCGGACCTCAACCCCTCCCCCTTCTTCAAACCAGCGAGGTCTCTGACACCCTGCCCATCAGCTGCTCATCCTTCAGCATGTCAGAACTCGACACGTTTCTGAAGTCCGCCAAGTCCTCCAAGTCATACGGTCTAGATAGCACTCATCCATATCTCCCCCATTCATGTCTCACGCCCCTCGGAAGCTTCCCCACAGCTACGTGAAAAACCTCCTGGATCTGTAATAAAGCATCATGGATTGTGTGATCCCCAAGCTGGAAAACGGCCCCCTTAATTCTCGTTATCCCCCCTATCCCCAAAACTGGGTCGCATGGTCATGAGATCCAGCAAGACACCAGAGAAAGACCTCACCGTGGCATTTCACTGTACGCACCGGTTTGCAGCGAAGTTTTAACATCAAGTTCCTTTCCTCAGACCGGATCTACCCATTTCTAAGATCCTCTTGCATCTCCCGGCACACCAACACACAACACCACTCCGCGTTTCCCACCACGCAGGACAGTCGGAAGACGCCCACCACTTCCCACAGGTCTTGCCCTAGTCGTTATCGAGGGAATGCAAGATCGGAAATCGTTCAGCCGCAATTGTTTTGTCGATTTTTCGAAGCGTGCGGAAGCCTTAACCGGGATGCCCTTTTCTACATCCTCTCCCTCTACGGGAACTCCCTACTCCACTTGTAGATGCTATCAGGATCCTTCTTTCATTGACCTCATCGTTCTCTGCCCGTGGTACCATGACCATTCGACGGCCTCTTACGACTTTTTTGGACACTTATTGGGAGGTTCTTCAAGGGAACACGCTAGCACCCTTTTTCTTCATAATGTCCTTGACTATGTCCTCAGACGCTGCATGGGTGACGAATTAGGTCTTACATACGAGTGCCGTCGCCTAGGACTACGCCGAAGCTCGTCGCCCAGCAGCCAGGACTCTCCCGACTCATCACAGCCACCTTGGCACCCACCCTTTCGCACGGCTGATTCTCGCCCGCCCCGCCATCTCCCTTAATTTCAGAACACATAGAGCACCCATCGTCAACTTCTGCTGACAGAACTTGAAAAATGCAGCCGCACAAGTTGGTCTTGTGATGAATGCTTCTAAGACGCGTTCATGACCATTCAAATTATCCTGACACTGTCGACTTAATTCTATTCAGGCCGCAGATTAAACAGTGTGTGACTTAAATACCTCGGCTCTTTCATTGCGGTCAGTAGAAAGGATTTCAACTCAAAGGAAAGGATGGCTGGTCAGGCCTGTTTTAAACTGCAAAAAGTCTGGTCCTCTGGCATTTCGACAATGAAAGTCAAGTCTTTAGAGCCTGTGTCGAACTAGTATTGCTCTATGGAGGACCATGGACCCTAAAAAGCAGGGTTGAGAAGGGGGACTCAAAACGGGTTTTACACCCGTCTTTTAATGAAGGCCAAGAACATCTCGTGGAAGAAACATCCAACCCTCAAGCAGATCTATGGCAACCTTCCATCTATTGCCTCAGTGGTTGCGTCGAGGCGCTCCAGATTTGCTGGGCATTGCATGAGAGCTTCTGACCAAGTTATCTCCACTATCCTCCCCTGGCGACTTGCCCAATCCGGCCGTGGAAGGAGACCACTCACCTTCCTGGACGTAGTAGCTCGTGACACTGGGCTCCAGTTAGACGACCTTCGAACTGTTATGTGCGATCGAGACGTGTGGAGGCAGACAGTGAATGGGATTTCGATTGAGGATCGCCCAAAGTAAAGTAAAGTAAGTATATCTAGAGAGATATACTCAACTAACAGCCAGGTATGAGCTGTGACCGGACATTGTGCCGGATACAGGATGATGTGCTGATAAGGTGCCGGATTAGGTGCCGGATAAGGTGCCACTGAACGGCAGAGAGGTTGTATGAAAATCTTCTCAATCTTTATATTAACGTGGTCGTAGCATTATTGTACTTAGTTTATTAAGTCTAAGAGAGCTTATCTACAACTTCGCAGGCCAAAATGAACAGATCTTAAGTGTCAAGAGTTTAAATTCCCAAATAGTCAGACTGAGCAGGTTGAGCTGCAGTAAAACACAGTACTAAGGTGTTAAAACAATTTCATTACTATCTTCAGTAACATCCTCAATAAATGTAATAGATTTGTAGTGTTGTAACTTGTAAGTAGATCTTAAGTGTGAACTGTTTATGGAAATTTTCTGCAGTGATCACAAACTTTAATATATTATTATTGTGTCTGACTATTCAGTAGCGGGCAATAATGAGCCTCATTAGGCGGTACCGAGCATGTTGGGGGATGACGATCTGATCACTTTAAGTGAATGCTGATTGTGAATTTCCTTAAAATCAAAGAAATTCACGTTATAGCGCTTCGGTTGCTGTCCTATGAGCAGGTTCTAACCAATCAGACCATTGATTGAGTGAAGAAATCACAGATTAAGTGCCGAGATCATGTATCCGCCAGATCTTAAAATGGTCATAACTCGGTTTAGTTGTAAACAACCAAGTTGAAATTTTGGTAAAGCACTTCAATTATCAAACCACATGAGTCTGAAAATTTTGGAGTTCCTAACTCAAAACGTTCTCACTTTATGGCAACAAAAGAGAAAAAGAGGGAGTGTCATGGTGTGCCACACCCTCTGTGATCGAAGGATTTTTACGAACATTTCAGGAATTTTAAGTTTGACCCATATCTATATTCTCTGAAATTTTTAAGCAATTCTGATACCAATTACGTGAGTTATGAAAGGGTTGCGTGTGGGTAGTTACTTTTGGGCCACCCTGTACCTATATATATCGTCTCGCTTTATATTATATAGTAAGATAAAACGAAATAAAAATGTTTACTAATGTATTTATGGTTTTAAAATGGCTTAACGCTTGTACAAGATAACATGATTGAATCATTCGGCATTAGGGGCAACTCAGAGGGTCCCAATTGACCTGTTTACCAAAATATAGCTTTTGTCACTATTATAGTATTATAAGTTGTAGTATTATGAATAAAAGGAGGTCTAATAAAAGCCAGCTTGCTACTTTATCAAAACAATTTACGATCCCCATTTCGGTATCGGTATAATTTATCGATATGTTTAGAGCTATCCAATGTTATGTAGCACACCAGATAATGTTAGGAGCATAAAATGTATTAATCTCATTATAATATGTTAAATATTGGCCGCTCTATCTTGGCAAGTTGGTATTTTAGTCACTGTATAGGGCGCCCTGACCTACGCAAATATATCCCTTGTGAATATTCATTGCATTCTTTTCAATACTAAAAAATATCGCAAAATTCATAATCTGAGAACAAACTAGTATAACATTGTGTCGGTTATTCAAACCGTTATTTAATTTTACTCATTTATCTTAAATCGATTATAATTATTTAAGACATACCATTAAAACATCATACACGATACAGAAACTGAAACAGAAACTGAAACAAAATGGTCACTTATAGTCTGATTATAACTGTTAATGTTATTGTCACTAGTCTGATTATAACTGTAATTGGCGACTGTAAAGTTGAATTCTCGCCACTTAACTCGTGTGACGTAATAACGTAATGCTATAGTTACTATAGTTACTATAGTTACTATAGTTACTATAGTTACTATAGTTACTAATAACTCTGAAAGCTATCAGTTAACTTCTCTATCTGAGGGTGGGGAGGCAGCTACAGCAGCCACACAGCCCCCCTGAATCATCTGATTTATAAGTTAAGAGTTCCTTTTGTTTGAGTTTTGCTTTGAACACCTTGTGGTTGATAAGGGTCTTGGTTTGGGTCTCTATTTCCCGATCTATTGATTGTATCATTTCGTTCAGGATCTCTGGGGGAGTAAAGATTGGATTAATTTTTAACCTACTCAAATTACTGGCGTCCTTTGGTCCTTGGACAACCCCTTCAAATTCCCCCGCATTTTAAAGTCTGATAAATTAATTGTCACAAAATTTTGAATTTTCTTAGTTCCAATTTGTTATAACGGGTATAGGACACTAGGACGTAGGAGACAAGGCGGTTACTTTCCTAAAAGGGTGGACACAAGGGCGAATCACATGATTCATTTTAGCATGGACACGATGGCGGAACCAAAAAACCGTCCTACTACTAGATGATGGTCTGAATGATGGTTTGAAATTGACACACCTCAGTGAAATTCGTCTGCCCAAAGTAAATAACCGCCTTGGTACGTACCACCCCTGATCTAAACCCGGGTAACCGTAGCGTCAGCGATTGCGATTTTCTGAAGACCGAGTTTGTCACATGAACATCTAGGCAGTGTTTGATTGGTCTAAGCACTTTACCAAACCCCAAAATCTGCTGCTGAGTTGGCTGAGATATTTCAGGAAAATCTCTCAATTTCTGGCTCGTTTAACCCTTTTAGGAAAGTACCGCCATTGTGTCTGTGTTCCCGTTATAACTTGCGAATTGAAGAGAGACTGGTGGATATATCTTAAACTGAATTTCACCCAAAAGATCTGTAACGATCACAAAGCCACCAAACATGAGGTGTGTGTTACCTGAGAATAGTTGGACAACTCTAGTTCTGTCTGGTTTATCTCCGTCAAACACTCCACACTCCAGATACTTCTCCAACTCTAGCTCCTCTTGCACGCTCATCGCTTCCTCCTCCGTCACTTGTCTTTTATCTACCAAATCTGCCTGAGGGACACGGCTGGTCACTTGCAGTTACAGGGGGGGGGGGGGGCTGGTTACTTGTAAATTGTAGGGGGGACTGGTCACTTGCAGGGGGGGAGCTGGTTACTTGTAAATTGTAGGGGGGGCTGGTCACTCGTAGGGGGGGGGGCTGGTTACTTGTAAAATGTAAATTGTAGGGGGAGCTGGTCACTCGTAGGGTGGGGGGGCTGGTTACTTGTAAATTGTAGGAGGGACTGGACACTCGTGGGGAGGGGGAGCTGGTCACTCGTAGGGGGGGCTGGTTACTTGTAAGTTGTAGGAGGGACTGGTCACTCGTGGGGAGGGGGCCGGGGGGACTGGTCACTCGTAGGGGAACAATATACGGTAATCAATAAACATTCAGTTGACTCGCTAATTTTGCTATTTATTGCCAATTGATTCAGTGGGCCCATACTTGTGCAAGAGGTGTGTTTTGGTGACCCTCAGGTCCTTTGATTACATACATTTTGTCCTAGAAAATCTGATTTTATCGGAGTCTACTTTTGAGAAGATTTAATGTTGTTCATTCATTGTGTAAATTTGTATGTAATTGATTGATTTGAAAGATTTCAATAAATAAAATATTTAAATTTACATCTAACATTGTCCATTGTACGGCTCAAAATGTGCTTTAGTTGGATTGGTTGAATTTTGGCTGGAATTAATCACGAGGTTATACTGAGTAGTCGGATTTAGTAGCTGGCCGTGATCATTTGGGGAAATTCGAGATTGGAGATGGACCACAATTTTCAAGATTTTTCTAAATTTGACTTTGGGAAATTGTCGCAGGAAGAACTTTTGAGATGGGCATATGAAATGTTGAGCTTAAAGAGGATAAATCAATCTTTCTTGACGATAAGATTATACCGACTAGTGGGGTTGAGTAGTTGTGGAATGTGAGATTACCTTGTTGCCAACTAGATAAATCACTGGATCTGCTTTAGCTGCGTGAGTTCGGATGTGGTCGACCCATACCTTCACGGATTGGAATGAGCTTCTGTTTGTCAAGTCAAACCTGAAATAAAGAAAAATTAAATCTTTCAATTGGCTAAAAATTCGATATACATCAATTAATTTTGATTCTTAAATTTCATGAAAGACCCTTGTGAAACTTTTAAAATCAGAACTGGTAAGCAAAACCAACATATAGTTAATACTAAAAGGACAAAGGTGTACCATTATCCATTTACGACTTTCTAATTGATTAAAAAACAAGAAAAATGTGCCAAAATTATTTTGATAAAGCTAAAGGGAAATATTTACAAATTTCTGTTTTTTGCAAATTCCTCCTCTCCAACGAATACTTAAAAAGCTGATATTTACAATTTTTAAATTTTCTGTAACTACAGTAACCATGGTATGTAACCATGGTAACTGGCACTCACATGAGTAAGAAAGCCATGCTGTCCCGGTACAGTGAAGCAGTCAGGCAACTGAATCTCGGATCACCACTTGTATCCCACAACTGCATGTGAATCCGGTACCGGTGGAAATTAACCTGCAGATATTACATTGATCACTGAAAGCTCTACTTCTCATTTGTTAATGAAATGCAAGAGTACCTTACGTGAACTCTACCGGTCCCAGCGCCACACCCTGCAGTTTTTTTAATGAAAAGGCGATTTAACGGGTTTAACATACCTAAGTAGTAATATTTCAGCACCATATGATATAAGAAATAGGAATGATGCTAAAGATAATGATACATGAAATGGGAGAGATCTAGAGACCCACCCTAGTTTCCACCAGTGCTAGACCAGGTGTTGGTTTACTCTCCAGAGGGTTGAAATAAACGTTTTTGTAGAAATTTAACACTGAAGATTTCCCGACGGTGCAGTCTCCGACGCAGATAAACTGAAGTGTGATATTTGATTCAGCATACGTCTTAAAAGTCTGATTACCAAAAGTGTATCATAAGGTCAAACTAAATCTTTTCATCCGAATTTACTTAATTAAATAGAAAATACTGAAAATTTAGAAGAAAAAAAACTGCACGTGCAACCCGGAATGAAAGGGAACGAACCTTCCAGAGATAATCATAGTGCACGTCCCTCAGATCATCAGTCTGGTTGTGGTAAGAGGAGGGTCTGAGGGGACTCTTTACAAAGGTTAGGGTGCTGTTTCCAGTAGAGTTGTAGTTGGGCTTCGTTTTTTTCTTTCTCTTCTGGCTTATCAAACCGTTGTTAGAACTAAATGAATCTGCTTCAGGGTTCATGTCTGCGCAATTGTGTTACAATCAGTCAATTCAATATTTCACGATATCTTACTATAAGATATAAAAGTATAAAGCAAGACGATATATATATCGGTTGCCATTTTACTGACACCACGACATCGAGTTAAACACGACTTTCCGCGAAACTGTGAGAGACATACTATTGAAACTTGTTTGGCTGGGTATGCTAGTAAAATATGAACTGTACTATCTAGGTCAGTACTTAGGTAGCACTATTTAACGGATTTACAGTTACACTCAAAGACTGAAATATATTGAAGACAGAACATTCTAAAATAGACATTGAGTAAAACAGTCTCAACACAATAGGATCGAATTTCACTGACCTTGTATTGTCTTGACTGGTATGGAAAATAGAAAACGATGCGTGTCACAGTAAAAGTCATCAACCGGTATAGTGTCGGTCACGTGGTAACGGTCGTCACAGGTGTGATTTATTGTAAGAAATCACGACTTTAGAAAATTTTAGAAGACGACGATTGACTGTAGTGATGTACTTTTGTAGGAACAAAAAAACAGTGACGGTTGAAATTTATTGATACGTTTTTGTACTAGAGATGCCTCTAAGATCAAGACACCTTCACTGGTTTGAAAGGGCATACGCAATCTATTAGCGCTATTTCGGGAATCACCGAGAAAGCGTGCTGCTAAAAATGGAACTGATTCGTTTATTTTTAGTAGCCTGCTGCTGTAGGACCTGGTGCGAAAGGAATCTTGAATCATTGTATGGAAAACTAGGAAAAGGAATAGTGCGAGCTATTATTCCTTTTACGGGCACACCATGGATCTAGTAACGCGAAACAAACTCTTGAAATACAAAATGTAAAATGTACTAGATTTTTTGATTTAGTGATTTACTGTAGTCTGAGAGCCTGGCCACAAGGCGGTGGCTTGGTAGAGTAGGACCAGGATCCTACTATACTTTCTTAACGCCACATGATGTAAAACTAGATTATAGTAGAGTAAGAGATTTTATATGGGGCCGTATTGAAGAATGCCGTCGGATGTGTCGCGAAAACGAATCAATATCAAAGTTTATTAGTAAAATTAGATTGAGGCTGTCGCTGCATTTAAGGACGTAATGAATAGTGACTCTCGCGGCTCTGGACTCTGGAGGAATTACGTTATATAGTAACATTTGGGACCTCACGATGTTGATAGTGCCCAGTTTTTCTCAACAAAAGCTGGAAGGGTTGCCACAATGCCACCGCTAACTTGCATCCTCTAGCAGGTTATCTGCCAAACTCGCTATCGTCACGTTGGCGATCCCTTTTAGAAGACTACTTGTCTCGTGAATTGTGACAACTTCACCACTCACCAATTCACCTCAAATATGTGTCTTATGAGGTCACTTCATCGAATCTTAATTCAAGGTACCAGGTACTTGTCATACGTTGTATGACCCGCCGCGCACGAAGTGCGCGGCTCCCCCTGTATCGTCAGAACGATAAAGTGTGAAACGACCGTGGGTGTCCAAAC